ATATCGTTTGTTCTGTGTAAAAGCCCTCTATTTTATCTTTTCTATACCTAGATTCCACTTGTGCTCTGAACCACCAGTCTAGATATATGTTTTGCGTTTCTAACTCTTCCTTGGACCTTAACTCACAATCATTTTTAATAGATCTTGATATCTTAAAAAGTTTTGCTTCTGTCATGAGGTTAGGTTGTATAAAGGCCTCTATGGGTGATACCCAGCCTGGTGTTTTTTGGTAAATCTACTGGATGATCTTTTTCAAGGTCCCTAGTAGGGGTCTTCTTATCAAATGCGAGTTGAAACTTTTCTGCTGTTTTCCTTATCATACCATAAAAAGCATGCCAACCTAAATATAAATCATGTCCTTCCAACTTGAGTAGTCCATCATTATCTAAAGTTATCCATTCCTTTATCCAGACTAATACATAGTACACAGAGTCTACTAGTTGATCTATAATACAATACCCTATCTGGTTGACCAAAACCTGCTCTTTGTTTGGCATCTTGCATTGCTTTGATTTTAATTCTTGGTTTTTTACCTTGCCACACAAATCTCATGATTATCTTGTTAAGTTCTTGAAAAAATGACTGTTTTAATATTATGAAATTTGTCTGAAATAAAAATAAAATTTTAGGTACAACATTCATTTTGATGGTTGCTATTCTTCCCAGCAATGATAGCTGTAATTTTTCCCATCTCTCCAAGCGAATCTTTATCTCTTTAATCAACTTCATATACAGTGGTGCCTCGCTTAGCGATTGCCTCATTAAACGATGTATTCGCTTAGCGATTAGATTTTTGGAGTGATTTTGCACTCCGTTTAGCGATGTTCCCTATGGAGGAATTTCGCATAGCGATGTTCAGGACCTTGCCTTGCTTAGCGATGACAGTTTAGGTCCCCTGTTTCGCTTAGCGATGTTCCATTTTCACTATTTTTAAAGTGTCTTAAAATGTTCAAAAATTGTTTTAAATGCTTGCAATCGTTAGTGCACTTTGTAAAACCTTTGCAAACTTAATTTGGCTTTGTTCTGAGTCTTCGTTAATTTTTGGTGAATTCCCCCCCCCCATTGGAATGCATTGAACTGTAGGTTTGATAGCTGTAGGTTTTCCCATAGCGATGTTTTTTTGGAACCAATTAACATCGTTAAGCAAGGCACCACTGTAATTGTCTTTGACTAATGTACTCGTTTTCTTTGTGATTTGGATCCCTAAATATCTGACTCTCTTCTCTTCTTGAAAATTAGTCCTTTATATTAATTTCTGTCGTTCTTGGTCTCTCATATTTTTAACAAGTATTTTTTTTCTTTTGGTTTATTTTCATTCCTGCCATATCACCAAAATTCATCAGCATCTCCATCAGGTCTTCAATACAGGCTATTGGATGCTCCGGTATAATAACTAGATCATCTGCAAAAGCTTGGAGCTTAAAAGTATGACCTCTTACTTTCAGTCCTTTTATTTCCTTTTTATCTCTAATTTGCTCAGTTAATATTTCTAGAGTAAGAATGAATAGTAATGGAAAGAATGGGCACCCCTGTCTTGTACCTTTTTGTATTTGTATTTCTTTTGTCAGCTCTCCATTGATTCTAACTTTTGCCTTTTGCTGGTTATAGATTGCTTTAATTAATTTCAAAAATCTTTCTCCAACTTGTAGCACTTCCAATTGGTGTAGCATAAAATTCCAATTCAAATTATCAAAAGCTTTCTCTGCATACAAGAATATCACAGCCATTTGCTTTTCCGGGTGAGCTTCATAGTATTCCAAAGTATTTAAGATTATCCTTAAATTATTTTTCATCTGCCTTTTTGGAAGGAAGCCTGATTGGTCTTGATGTATTGTCTGTATTAAGATTGAAGGTAAGCAGGTGGAGGTACGTTGAGGCCAATGGCTCAAAAGGAGGTCTAGTTAGCTGACGGAGGACAAGGGTTAAAGACAATTGTGGAGAAGGTGGATGAACATCCAGGTAAGCATGTGATAAACGCTTGAGAAAATGGTTGTTGTAGGTTTTTTGGGCTCTTTGGCCATGTTCTGAAGGTTGTTCTTCCTGACGCCAGGAAGAATAACCTTCAGAAAATGGCCAAAGAGCCCAAAAAACCCACAACAACCATTAGATCCTGGCAGTGAAAGCCTTCGCGAATATCTTGAGAAAATGTTTGAGCATGGGGTGCCTAAGAAAACGAGCCGCTGGAGAGGTCGGTGGTTGGTAAGAGACGATTGCCAAGAAGTAAACTCTCAGAGAAGAAAGGGAAAGGCCTGTGGATTTCAGATGTAAAGAAAGTGTAGAACTGTGGAAACAGATGGGCTGATGGGACGTAGGGAAGCTGCTGCAGTGAAGGATCGAAATCTCTTCCATTTATATAGATATGCTTTTCTGATTGAAGGTTTTCGTGCTTGACGGATGATATCCATCAAGGAGGCAGAATCCTCCACGCTGCCAGGTGAAGAACAGGTAGGTCTAGATGAAGTATCTGGGAGTTGTTCTGCATTAGGAGGTGTGGCTGATAGGGGAGGTGATAAATCTCTGATGACAGATTGTGGACAATTGGAAACCAAGGTTCTCGTAGCCACCATGGGGCTATAACAATGGTGTCCAGTTTGTACTGTAGTAGATGGACGACTACTTTGTGAAGGAGTGGAAAAGGTGGGAACAGATATAAGAGAGTCCTGGAACAACGGCCAATGAATGCATGTCCCTGGGAGTGTTTGCAGATTCCAGCATGGGAGCAATAGCGTTTGCACTTCCGCGTTTTTCGTGAGGCGAAGAGATCCAGAGTTGGCGTGCCCCACTTGTAATTTCCACTCATGAGGTTGGGAGCTGGCACGACTGAGGAGGTCCATCAGATTGCTGTCCTGGCCTGCAATATGTAAAGGTGTTAGACAGATGTGACGTGAGAGGCACCATTCCCAGAGATCTATTTCCAAATAGAGGAGGCATGGGGAGTGGGTGCCACCTTGTTTGAGGATGTAGTACATGGCTATAGTATTGTCAGTGGCAATTTGTACCATTTTGCCAATAAGGATGGTCCTGAAAGCTCTTACGACCGCCAGAAGTTCCAGCTCGTCTATGTGGAGGGAATGTTCTCTGCGGGACCAGTTGGCATGGATTCTGAGAGAGCCACAATATGCTCCCCAGCCTGTGAGGCTGGCATCAGTCATGACCAGTATTTGAGGACAAGGTTGTTGGAATGGACGTCCTACTGAAAGGTTTGGAATGAAACCCCACCATTGGAGTTGGGAGGCGAGTTCGGGGGTGACTCTCAGTAGAGTGTGAGGAGAGTCCGTTAGTGGGTCGAAGAGGGTGAGAAACCACAATTGTAGCAACCCCAGAAGGAGATATACATGTGTACAATTGAGGTCATGGAGGTCATGGTGCTAGGTGTCATGAGTGCGCCCGAAGATCTGGACCCAGAAGGGTTAATTGTGGCTGAGGAGAATGTGGAGAGATTGGAAACAGCTGAGCAGCCTCCAGGTACTCCCTCCACAGCAGACAGGCTTTGGGGCAGGCTTCGGAAAAGACTCAGGGAAAGAAGAGCAGAGGATCGCTCTAAAGCTTTCCACAGGGACCTGCGTTCACCTAGCCCTGAGTACTAGCAGAATAGAGAGCGTTCCAACAGCTCAGGGAGCTGTTTTAGGATAAAACAAGCTTCAGCGAAGCAAGAAACTTCGTGGAAGCAAGGAGTCAACATCTTGGCTGGCATCCACGTCTCTTGTTCCTGAACTCTGGACCTTGACCCTGGACTTGCACTGGTATTGAACTTTGGACCTTGGCCCTGGACTACGTACTCTGAACTCTGGACTCTGTGTATCTGACCCTGGACTTTGACTTTGGACTGCACTCTGTAAGTTTGTTTTGGAACTCTGGTTTGCATTCTTGGTATCTCTGACCCTGGACTGGTTTACTGGACTTCGGCTATTGTAACCCCCGGGAACGTGACACTAGGACACATTGCACCAGCAGGGCGGGTACCAGAGCACTGGGGATAAAGTTGTGCAGCAAAGAGATGAGGCTTTGTTGTTTGTCGAGGGGAAGGAATGCGCGGGTTCAGATAGAGTCTATGCGTGTTCTGATGTACTGAATGACCCTTGTAGGGCTCATTTTGGATTTTTGCATGTTGACCATGAGACCAAGATGGTGAGGAGGGATAAGGTGAAACAAGTGTCTCTGCGAGCTTTGCGACAGGAGTGAGCTACCAAGAGCTAATCATCAATGTATGGGAAAATGATGGTGTTTTGTAGACTGAGGTAAGCAGCTACTGGGCCACACACTTTGTGAAGACTCTGGGAGCTGTTGCAAGGGAAGTCTTTTCAATTGATAGGCTCGAGACCCTAGTTGGAATCGAAGATACCACCTGTGGGATGGATAGATGGCGATGTGGAAGTATGTATGGAAGCGGTATCTTAGATCTATGACTGTGAACCAATCTTTTTTACTGAGGGGTAGAACCGACTTGAGGGTTACCATGTGTGGTGATAACATAATGGTTGAGTTCTCTGAGGTCTAGGATTGGGCGAAGACCGCCGTCCTTTTTGGGGATGGTAAAATAGCGAGAGAAACGTTGTTGTGTTGTACCAGTTCTATGGCGTCTTTGAGAAGTAAATTTTTTAATTCTTCTTGCAGAGGTTGATACGGTGGTATAACAATGTGCTGTGGCAGAGGGAGCTGATGGAAATGGAAGCGGTATCCATTTCAGATAATAGAGTTTGTTCACTTTTAGTCAGAAGTAAAGTCCTACCAAATACAGTAGTAATTGCACTAAAACTATAGTCTTTCTTCTGGTCTTTTGCATGCTTATTAAGTACACATGAATTCAACGGATTTATGCCTATTTTACATGTGCATATGTAACTTTATTGCCATTTCTAAGAATGTGTACGGGAGCTAAACTCCTAATTCACACGAAACAAATGAAAGGATTGCAGGAAAAAAACACTGTATGCATCTATTCAGCCATAAATTTGGTGATCCTTTAAAAAAAAATCTGAGTGCTTGCTAGACATACTTACTTGCTACTGAAAAGTTGTTAAGAGGATATGGTAGATCCACATCTTGAGGCTTCTCCTTATATCCTATGAAAGAGCCATCTGTCTTCAACAGGAAGTATCTTGGCCTCCAATTTTTTATATATTCTCCTAAATAAGAAAAGAGTATTACTGCAATATGAAAGAAGTGGTGTAGTGCTTACCAGTTACATTCATATTTCATCTCTTCCTCAACGAGCTCAAGGTGACATACATGTGTCTTCTCCCCATTGCATTCTCACAAAAACCATGTAATATATGTTCTCATGAAATTAAAACAGACTTCCAATAACATTGATTTTAAATTTGTCCTTTTCCTCATTTTCGGGACTACTGTGATCTCCACTGAATCCTTAAGGTTGAAAACTTGTCCTCAGACCCTCCAAAATTCATCACTCCTGCTGTATTATTAAGCTTTTCCTGGAATTAAGATAAACACTTTTCAGACATTTCCCTCCTAAATTGTGCAGAACACAACTCTGCTTCCTCTACACAGCGAAGGTTTATAACAGAGATATTGTATCTTTTTAATAACAAATTGTTTTAATAACAAATTGTTATTTAAAATACATATACTACAAACACATAAAACTTACTAAATACATAAACACAAAATACAAGTGCACTCCTCTCCCTAGGGAGCACTGTATCTTACATATTTTACTTATAATCATAACTTATCTTCTCCTTTAGCCACTCCCAAAGTCATTCCAAAATACATATATTCGTTGCCCGGTTTTTCCCTTTCCCTTTACACAATACAGCTTTTTAAAATTATCTCCATATTTCACTGAATCTATTAACCTTTATCTCTCCCTTTTTAAACTTAATTTCCAAAGTCAGTTTATCATTAACTGCTATATATGTCAGATTTCATTGCATCAGTCCTGCAGCTGGAAATCCCAATTCTTCTTCATATTCTTCGCTAAAAGCAATCGAGCTGCAGTTATCAAATTCATTCATTTCTTTCTTTCTTTCTTTCTTTCTTTCTTTCTTTCTTTCTTTCTTTCTTTCTTTCTTTCTTTCTTTTTAATTCACATCACAATTTTCTTTCATCAATAACAATACTGTTTTTGGAACCATTTCAATATTGATTTCCAACAATTCTCTGATCTCTTCAAATACTTTAACCCGTACTTTTTGTATAACTTCACAATTTCACTGCAAATGAAAATATGTCCTAGCTTCTTTGTTAGATTTCCATCATTTCCTATAATATTAAAAATCTATAATATTTAATTTTACCAGTGTTAACACCATCTCCATAATATTTTATAACCATTTTCTGTTATCCTAATTTACATATTTTAAAAAACCCTTTTATTCCAGATTTTTTTTCAAGTCATTTTCATCTGTTTCCCCTATATCCATCTCCCACATGGTTTAACTCTTCTAACTGTTCTCCCTGATCCATCAAGATTCTATAAATTACTCATGTTCTTCCTTTCTCTTTTTTCTTATCTATTTCTTTTTCTAAATTCTTTATAATTTCTTCAAAATTAGTAAAATTTCTATCTCCTAGTTTTAATTTCTCACCCTCTATTAACCACTTCTCCAACTTTTAATCAATTTAGTTTTTCTTCACCAAAATTGGGTCTTACTTGTTCTTTAGTTTTAATTTTCTCTTTCCAATCTTCTCATTTGTATAATTTGTTTTCTTTTTAAGAGAGATCTTGTATCAACACAAGAATGTCAAATGTGGAAGGAAAAGGACTGAAGACCCCAGCTCCCTTCTATTTGGGCTGATAAATAAATAAATAAATGCTAGAAAAAGATTTAAAATAAATTTGGGGTATGATTGGTGAATGTGTAAAGCAGGCCATTAAAATCTAGTAATCTAGGTGTTATTAAGGTCACAGGAACATAAAATGGAAGATAAATTATAAATCCTATATTGTTGAATTTTCCTACAATTTAACACAGAAAAAAAATATTGTTTGCATGCTGCATCCACAGGATTGTACCAATGCTGACTGTCTACCAGCCAAAAAGAAACTACTAATGTAATGGATTCTCCTTCTACACAGCACAAGTTAGAAGAGAGCTAAAGGAACCTATACTACAGATGTTTATTTTGAGATATTACTTCCACTAACAGCCACCTTGCACAGTATTTTTGCATAAGGCATGAACAATGGACAGATAGGCACTTAATGTAGTCCACTGGATGCTTTGCAACATACTTTTTTAAGAAGAGCAACAGTTTTCCCATGTAAGTTAAAATCAGTTGGCTGGATAGCTCAGTAGGTTGGAGTGCCTTAGTATAGAGCCAGGGGTTGGGAGTGTAATTCCTCACTGTGCATCCCAGGAGAAAAGTCTGTCTGTAACTTTGACCAAGGTGCATGGTCCCATAATACCACCAGGAGCCAAGTACGTTAAACCTAGAAAACCTTGGAGAGAATCATGAATAATTAATTAATTAATTACATTAGAATCCTAGATTAATTAGAACTGATTCAGATATGGACTTCCACTCATTTATGTAGCTGATGTCTATGTATAGCTCATGGGAGAACAATGGATAACTTGCTGCATCAAGGGCAAGAAGATAAAGAAAGAAATGGGGTAATTTTGTTTGAAATACGGCCAAATTTAATCATTCACTGAAGATATCCTATCTCATTCCACCCTGCAAGCACTGGCTCTGCCCTATAAGTCATCATTTTGATTCTGACTCCACAACCACCAAAATTCTTATTTTGCTTCAATTTCTAGTTAAAAACAAAGTTTGTCCCATTAGGCTATGGTCTGTCCATACACATTAATATTTTCCCTGCTAAGAATATGTTGGATGTGACTGTTGTTACAATGCTCTGTTTAATCCAGTTAATTAATTTTCTAAAAGATATTATGAGATATCCATTTTCTATTTGCATGCAGACTGGGAAAAATGACTTTTAAAAAAAAAAAAAAAACTTCTTTTCCTTTGCCCATGCAACTACAAAGTCACTCCCAAGTAGCAAAGGCATTAGGAATTAACTGATTTACTGAATGGAAACTCATCCACCTATTTGACAAGTTTGCCATTGCCAAAAACCACACTTTTGGAGGGACTCTGAGTAGCTAGCTGTCAGATGCTGAGCCTTGTACTGCAATTAAGTCGATGCACTCTTCTGATGTATGTAAAAGGTTCCTCTCTCCTACTGTTTAATAATCACAGGATCTCCAAAATACATAGACCTACCTCCTGCTCATTTATAAGCCAAAATGAATCACTCTAGAACAGGGGTCTCAAACATGCGGCCCGGGGGCCATTTGCGGCCCCCCAGATGATAGCTTGTGGCCCTCCCTTGCCTGTCCCCCCAAAGCGCCCTCACATCCTCTGCTGTCAAGAGTTTTGAAAAAAGCCTTGCCTCGCTCGCCGGCTGTCTCCCAAGACAGCACCTCTTGCACCCTCCATCCAGAACTGCAGCCTGCCAGCCAGCCCACCTGTCTGTCGGCTAAGGAAACTCCTGGGCGGCATCCTCGGGCTCTTGCTCCGCTTGGCAGAAAATCTGATGCGGCCCAGACTCACCCAGACTCAGCCTCTAGTGGCCCCCAGGTGAATTGAGTTTCAAACCCCCTGCTCTAGAAGGAAAACACAATGCAAAGCCACTGCTACGCATATGTAATATGTATTATTTGTTGAAATTAGTTACACCAAGAGATAGCACATGGAACTTTGTTTTGTGTTCTTCACTTTTGCACTTACTACCAATAAAATTACTTACTACCAATAAAAGGCTAATAGAGTTTTGTCAAGAGAATAAGCTGGTCATCACAAATCTGTAAGCAAACATAGGTTTGCCACCAACTGCTTTGGAGAGTCAAGTATTCTTATCAAGAATCGACTGGAAATAACTTATGATCATTTATGATGCATATGAGTGGTCTCACTTGTGGACTGAAATTGACAACTGGTGATGTTCAGTCATTATACAGTGGTGCCTCGACTTACGACCATCCTGACATGCAAACATTTCAAGTTGCGACCAGCTCTGGCTGCAAAATTTTGCTTGGACTTGTGGCCAGAGCCTCGAGTTGCGATCCAAAGAGGCAGGGAAAAAAGGCGGGGAATTCAAATTAGAGGGCTAACCGTTGGTCGGTGAAGATCTTCTTTGTAGCTCTTCTGCCCCAATGATTAGAGTGTGTGCATCGGAGGAGGCTTGGGACTGCCTAGTTCTGAGCAAGTAGATTTACAGGGTTTTGCACGGTGGGTTTGGCCTGGGGGGGGGGGTTATGTTTCTGTGCTGTGATTTTTTTTGTGTGTTTTGGTGTGTTTATTTTTTCAACCCCAGGACCTTCTGATGGGGCTTGCTGTGTTGTTTATTTTTGGGTTTTGTTTTGTTTTTAAAGCCCGAGTGCCTTCCGACAAGTCTACTGTGTGCTTTATTTTTGGTTGTTGTTTTTTAAAGCCCCAGCGATGGAGCTTGCTGTGTGTTTTATTTTTGGTTGTTGTTTTTTAAACCCCCAGCAGTGGAGCTTGCTTTTTATTTTATTTTATTTTTTTAAAGCCCCAGCGTCTTCTGACTGGGCTCGCTGTGTTGGTGTGTTGTTGTTTTGGCCGGAACACATTAATCGCGTTCCAATGCATTTCAATGGGAAAAAGTGTTTCGACTTACCACCATTTCGAGTTACGTCCATCTCCTGGAACGGATTATGGTCGTAAGTCGAGGCACCACTGTATCCTCTGGGTCTGGCAGTAGTTTGCTTCTGGGTATCCCTTGCCTGGTTAATTTGTTCTTTAACCACATTATATGGGTGTCACAGTTTGAGAAATGTGTTTGGGAGATCTTTAAGTTTAGAATCTATCTTGTGGGTCCGAGTATATGTAATTATACCTAAGGGCTTGGCTGCAAATGATAGTGGTATGTTTAGCATGGAAGCTGGAGGCATGCAGGTAAGCATATCAATTAGTAGGTTTTTGATACAGTGTAGTGCTAAGATGTTCATGCTCCAAAGTAATGTCAAGAAAATGCATCTATTGTGTGGCTTGATCCAGCCTAAAGCTGATGTTAGGATGAAAGTCACTGAAATCCTGGTGAAATTTCTCTAGGGCTTTCTTTTTTCCCCATGCGTCCAGGTCAAAAACTGTTATCTATGAACCTGAAATAGAGGAGTTATTTCAGGGT